AATTTTATTTTCCTGTTCTGAAAGATAGTTTTTGCTAAAGGGAGTATCTGTTTGGAAAGTTCTGACTTAAAACCACCAAAAAAAAGGTTATATGTTGGAACTTTTTTTTTATGTAGCAATGAAACATAAATATGGGGCTGAGGAAAAAGCATAGACTTTGAAGATTATAGGTGGGCTAAATGAATATGAATTCACACTAGAATTTTTAATCCATTCTGAGCAAATCATTCTCTTCAGTAGTGCATTATTTGTAAAGAGCCTCCAGCTCTTAAGGACAATGTAGGTTCAATAAGTTTGCTTCCCTTGGTAATTGCTGATCACAGCTTGTCTCAGATCAGTTTCTTAAATCTGTGATAAAAGTTTATAGATTTCCTACAAGGTTACACAAGGCACCCTGAATATGGAACTTAACAACTGATATACCATCCTATGTGAAAAATCTAACACCTAAAACATCTGTGGTGACTTAGCATCATGCCAGAGTTAAATCAACAGTTTGGGTTTCAGTTGAGCGGTGTTTATTAGAATCTGGGCACAGTAATGTGTCACTATTTTTTCCTGCTTTTAGCAAATGCTAAAATTATAAACTTAAAAATTGGTGCTGAAGCACATTTTCACTGATACTCTAATTAGGCTAACCTTTCCCTGAATTTAGCCTGCAGTTCTTCTTGCTCACACTGAGGCTACATTGCCAAGATTTCCCTTGCCAAACACTATAGAGGGATATGTTTTAAACACACTTCCCTGATGAAACAATTTAATTATGAATAAAATATAAATGTCAAATGTTACTGAGACCCCAATCAGAGTCTTCAGAGGGGTTAAAAACTAAAACAAAATTGCAGCCATCTGAAGATGAATGATTGCATTTAATATCATTTTAATAATGTTATCCTGTTTCCAATTATTCATTTTCCAGAGAAAAAGGGATGGTGGCATTATATTGTGTGCCAGTATATTTTTAACATTGGGATTTCAAGGAACCAAAGGCCGTGATTTGTAGCCTTTGGAGATTTCTTTGGGGTAAATACTCCCACTGTGGTCAATTTCAAGCTGCCGATGTGACGTTACTGAACATGGAGCCAGGAGGAGGTGCACAGTAGATCTCTATAATACTGTATAGCATTTCAACTACAGGTACAATTGACCTAGCCTCAAGAGTAGAGATAAACTGAAAATTATCTAATAATAGGGTAATATGCAAATTGGTCAGGATACCCTTACAGTAACAACTGATCAGCAAGCTGGGTGGAGCCTTGCAGCATGGGGGAGAGAGGTGGGACTGCGGCAAAGGCCTCTCTCTCTCCACACGCCTGCCTAACCTGGCACAGGCATGTGGAGTCAGAGGCCTCGGCTGCAGCCCTGTCCCCTTGGGTCCTCAGGCCTTTGCCATGGCCTGGGGTCTGCAGGTCTCCCCCAGCTCTGGCCTACCTCTTTGGGGCAATCCATCGAGGAGCCCTGGATGGTTGGGTGAGGCCTACCTCTTTGGGGCAATGGATCGTGGGGCCCCCACATTGTGATAGGGCACAGGCCAATCTGAGGGCTTCCCCGGGCTCCCCCACATCCTGCCCCAAGTGAACAAATTTTGTGCACCGGGCCACTAGTAATAAAATAATTAGGAAGTGGTAGTTTTGACTATTACCTTTGTTTATAATAAAATTTATTTCATTTTTAATAATTTAATATTTAACGATGGTTGTTTTTAACAACTAACATAAAATTCCTGAAAATTTAATGATCCACTGTCATAAGTCAGCACAAGCCAGTTCCAGCACAACCACTGGGGCAGCCTCCTCTGAGCACATGCCAAACTCTACGTAGGGAGGGATTTAATCTGCCTGGGAAGAAAATTACCAGTCTACAAATCTTTTTCTTTTTTATCTTGAGTCTTATTTTATGCAAAATGTCATTTTAGTTGAGGGAAAGAAAGGAAGTATCCTCCATGCAGGTGCTAGCTTTTCAAGACTTCACAGTTACTCTGAGAAAGTAAGCACTGGCAGTTAGTCATGTGGCATAGTGCTGTAACTGGGCATTTGGTCATTTCAGTATAATTTTTTAGCTGCATCAAAGGACCAAGCATTCCGATTCACCAGACATCTGGACTGACCAAAATATTTATATCAAAGGTTTTGGCAGACTCTAGAAACACTCATGGCAATTTTTACAAGAACCAAAGAACCACATGAGAAACAAATGAGTGGGTTCCCTTCAGGGTGGGGCTGAATAAAAACAATACTTCAAACTTTTATGATCAATTGCCCTGTGGAACACTTCCAGGCCCTGGATCTTTTGTCACTAGATCAAACATAATCAAGATTTTTACCTTCCCTTGTTTATAACTATGTTTTCAGTAGGACTTTGTCAAAAGTGAATAAGAAATTGATATCTAAATTTGATTATATTATAGGGGAAATATTTCTGAGCAAAATATTATCTTGTTTGAAAATTTCATTTTCTTGGTTCATTTTCTGGCTTGACATGATCTCTTGGTTCATTTTCTGGCTTGACATGATCTCCTAAAATCAGCCTGCTACTATATGCATCTTTAAGTGAAAATGTAGGTAGAAAAGAATGACTGAGGCTATGTCTGTACAAAGGAGATTTTAAACCTTTTTGTTTAACCTTGGCTCTTTGATTTAGAAAATCTTAATAATTTAAGAAATAATGAAGTTGTTTTCCAAGGATACTTGGAATATATATTAGAAAAGGGACAATATTGTTGTTGGTATGAAACATGAATTTCCTTGATGAAATCCATGTTTAAAAGTATGTTCAAATATTGGCTTCCTGTAGGGAAATTCAGATGACTATGTTAATAATAAACAAAAACTCATCTGCATTTGTAGTTCAGTTACAAACTTCTACACTTTGAAACATCTATATTGTTACTTATTATAAAAGAAGAAAATACTTGAAATGTTCCCTCCCCCCCAAAAAAACCAAACAAAAACAAAAACAAAAAAACAAACCCTATTGTAGTTACATATGTTTACTACACTTGAGTCAAGAGTTTTCATTTTTACAAATGCAAATAAAAATTCTTGTTATAAGAGTATTTATAGGATGATAAGTCAGTCTCTTAAACTATCACTACTACTACTACTGAAGGAGGATTCAAAGAAACCTCTCTCTTCTAAACTTTTACTTTACATCCAATGGGACAATGAAAATAACCACAAACCCTACCATTTTCAAATGAAACTGAATAAGTCAAAGATTATATGTAATCTCTGAAATAGAGAATGAGGTATAAGAAAATAACACTAAGATAAATTTATCCATGAATGGATCCACAGCACATAGCCTCTTTTTATTAAAAAGGCTGTAAGTATTATAGTTTGACAACCGCCTTATATATAACACCCATAGCCATTAATTAAAAATGATAGATTTATAATTCTAGTATTAAAAAGCCCCAAAGAATTTTCTAAAAATTTTTATTAATTTGAAAAACCTAGGAGCCTAGAGATCTGTTTCGAATCCTTATTTCCATTAGTGTCTTGGTCAAGGAGCTATCACCTTAGCTATGAAAACCCCACAATATCATCCAATGAAGGTGGTCCTAGCTAAGAGATGTCTATGTAACAAGCCTGTGGCATTTCTGAAGGTGATTTATGCTATCAATGTCATGCTCCTCTGATGAAAAAGGAAAAATAATAAATTCTTAAAATTTAAAGAAAATAGGTTTCATTTATTCAGAGTGTTGCAATCTACGTTTTAATTCCACTAATAGATGTCAATTTCTATTTAACTAACTAGAACTCACCTATAGTTTCCATGAATATTTGCCATGGCAATTTGGAGAAGAGATAAGCCACAGGGAAGGATGGTAAGAAGAGATTGTAATCATGGTTCTAAAATTATCTAGCTGGGTGATTGGGGGTATATCTTTCCTGTGCTTTAATTTACCCATTTATGAAGGTGTTACACAAAATGATCTCTAAGGCAGATTCTAATTTAAAATTTTAGACAATTTTTGGTGTTATTTTACTGAGTAAGACCAAATTTGAAATTCAGGTTAACAGAAGTAATTTTTTTGGTTTATCAATAAGTCATAGTTGTATACATGTTAGAAGATTTATTCACATATATTATTCTATGCAAGGCAATGCATATTTACACCATCTATATTCTGCACCAAAATGACCACTGGAAAACATCTCAGAAACATTTTCTTGAGTGTCATGAACTTGACCACATAAAGTTCAGGCCAATGGGAATTTTCACTTTGGACATCAACAGGCTGACCAACTTTAGGTTCTTTTCAGTTTCTGTTTCTTATGGTATTTTGCCCATAATCTGATTAAACTTCCTCTCCTGCCACTTTTACAACAGGGCCGTATAACCCAAGCCAGAGCTTTGAAAAGATATCATGCTTTTGGAAAGTATTTTCACTGCTTTACTAACACTGTCCATCCACCTGTTTAGGAGGAATAGTCGCATCTCGGCTGGGTGACAAAGTACAAGGTACAGGCATACCTGTAAATTGTTCTGTGACCAGGATCATGAGTTAACGCTACCTAATTTTAAATCACTAGAAAAATATTTTTTGAACCTCTGAAATGGGCTCTCAGAGTAAATATGAGAAAATCTGGGACATTTCACAAAGTCCCTCTCCCTTTCACAATTTCCTGGCTTCATTTTGGAGGGACAGCACTGCTCTCTGAGTCACCGCTAGTCTCCCATGGTACCTGTTATCTCAGAATGTCTTTCATTAAATACTCCATGAATGAAAGGCACATGTTCTGAGCTGATCTCAATCAGCAAGAGTCAACACACAGAAGCTTGGAACTGGGAAAGACAATATTATTTAAGATTTCTAAAAAACGAATTTCTTTCAGAGTAATAGGCGGATAACTGATTCAAGTAATTCCTAGACTTGGGCAAACATCCCTGATGATCGCCCTCCACAAATTCACGAGAATAAAAGAAAAATGAAAAAGTAGAGAGCATCCAACTGAAGAATATTTGTGTTCCTGTTTATTTACATGTTGGAAAACTTAGGTGTCAGCTTTTCCATAAGTCCCCTCTGGAGGTCTGTAGTACTTGGGGAAAGCCATCAGCTGTAGCATGTTGAAAGCATACTTTCTGCATTTGATATTCTTCAGTACATTCTCTATGCGGCATCCTTCTCTGGTAAAAGGGGAAAAAGTACAACTTCATGAAACAGAATAAATAAATATGCTTTATTTGTTCAATGCAGAGTTGCAGCAACAGTCCAAGTAAAAATAACAAAGATTCAACTCTACATTTGTTTTTTGTTTGTTTTTCACAAATGATGATACATCTTACAAAATTAAATCCTAGGCCAGGCCCAATACCATTATTGCCCTCAGAAAAGAGATGATTCAAGTCTCTTTACTCTTAACAGGTATTTAAGGTTTAATAAACTCTTTAAATATAATTTGCTCCACAATACAGCTTCACTCTAATCTCATAAATATATCTGCCTTTTTAATAACTCTTCCACAAATTAATTTCTTTAAAACACATTAAAATCTATATGTAGCCCTAAGGATACAGGTTCTAGGAATAAGGCATTTAATTGATTAAGTCTGGCCCTATAGATTTTTAAAGGAAAGTTCAATCTCTATTTTACTTCATTATTTTAACTGTGCAACGACGAAAAAAAATGGCTTCTGGAACAGCCTAGTCCGAGTCTCCACTTTATAGAGGAGAAGTGCTATGCACAGACAGTACAGTCACACGTGCGGAAACGGGGCATCAAGACACAGACAAGACCTTGTTAAAAAGAATCAGAAAGTACTCTCCAAGCCACATCAACCCAAACCATAGTTACAAACAGGTTAATTTCATTACAAAACAGAAATAGCCATTCTCTTCATAGAGTTACTTGACAGAAGGGGGTTAATGGCAGCAAAGAAATGACAAAACGAACAGGTTAAGAAACCAAACAGAAGGTTCTGCCAGCTGACGGCAGCGGTTTTAGCACAGTGGAAATAACGTCTGGAACCTCCCACATGTCTAGGACTTGTCTCAGAGTTTCAATGTGTTGTGCAAATTCAGTCTTAATTTCTTTGATACGTTTAACGGGAAGAGGAACAGGAGGTGTAGACCTTCAAGCTTTCAGGATTCTGTTCTTTGTCTTATTCCAAAGACAGTAATTTAAAAATTCTTCTTGGGCGACTGAACAGAGGGAAACACTTCTCCATGAACAAAAGAGCAAAATAATTCACTTAATGCATAGTACTTCTTCTTTTAGATTTTAGGAAAAAAAACAAAGGAAACACAATTCAAACATCTGTTTTAAATTCTCTGGATCTTAAAATGTAGAAATATTACAGCATTGTCCCCATAATTTAAAGTCCATTATAATTTGTAGAAAAGGAAGGAACACAACAGTAAAAGTTATTGGTATTTGGCTAATAATAATGCGAGACTTAAAATAAGCCACACGACTAGCAGGTGTGAGCTGACAAGCAGCAAGGCGACAGGATAGAAGTGTCGAGAAGTTGGCTTGTTATCAGATAGACAGCCTGTTTCAGGATCATCGGATTCATTCAGGGCTCCCTGGGTTTGTCTGCTGTTAAACAGGGAGGGGGAGTAAGGGAAGGAAAGAAAATAGAATAGCATTCACACAGTAAAGAAACTCAACCTTAAACATCCTGAAATAGAACACATTATCTTATACAATAAAGCTTCAGATGGAAGTTTTATGCTAAATAGCCCTAAATACACCCTGCATATTTTTTTCTCACTGACAAATGTATTTCTCATTGACAAATGTTATTACAAAAGGAGATTTCTTTTGCTTTTGGTGTAAGAGAGAAGGGAGAGACACTCGGATGATATTTCACATGGTGTGAATCTGAATGTGCAAGGAAGAAGCAAATAAGCATAATAGCAGCAATAAACAAAACTCCATGAATAAAACTAAAACATGGATCAGCCCATATAAATAGTCTGATAAGTACCTCTTTGGCAAATGAAAGAGAAACGGTATGTAGTGAAGCAAAAGAATGTGTCTGACACATTTAAGCACACTCTCTGCTGGTCTCGTACCTATTTAATGTATTTAACATTATAAAAAAAGATTTATAGAAATGGGTTGGTATTTAAAATGAATGAAATATCTGACATGTCATCCTTGGCAGCCGTAAGATTAGTTTAACAAAACCTGACTCAGTGTCCTTCTTACCCCTTCAGCTCGTAAATTTCACGGTCTCCTGCTCATCTTACTTAAATATCTATCTTCCAAAGCTTAAAAGAGATCCATCTTTGCAGAGTGACACCTTAAACAATAAAATATTCTACATTTCTAGGTTGTGTATTTCCTGTGTAAGTAAAAATGGGCACTTATAATTGGCTTAAAAGCAGCTACAATTATGGCAAATAAAAAAAAATAGCTGGTGTAGCTCAGTTGTTGGAGCATCAGGCTAAGAACCAAAGGGTTGTAGTTCGATTCTTGGTCAAGGGTGTGTATCTGGGTTGCAGATTCAATTTCCATCCCTGACCCTGGCCCCTGTCAGGGTGTGTGTAGGAGGCAACTGATTAATGTGTCTCTCATATCAATGTTTCTCTTTCCCTTTGTGCCCTACCACCCGCCTCTTCCTTCCCTTCCAGTTTCTCTCTCTAAAAAAAAAAAAAAAAAAAAAAAAAAAAAAAAAAAAAAATCAATGGGGAAAAATATCCTGTGGTGTGGATTAAAAAAATAAAAAAATAAAATATGTCATACTGATATATGTTGAAAATAAAAATTCTTCTCTCTGGCATATTTCATCAGACTCAGAGTATTCAGAATTTCAATCATGCTCAGTTGTCATGGTTTGAGCTCCATCAGCTCCTCCATGGTTGAAGGCAGGAGATGGGTGTTGGGTCAGTCTTATGGAAAGTGCCACACAAAGCTAACTTATCAACAAGCCCCAGAGCTGCTGGTACTCCCTTTCAACCAGGGGTAGCCCCTGCAAATTCCCTACACAGACATTGTGAGCAGGTGTCGACCACCTTAGTGACCAAACTTGGACAAACAGTAGGGATCATTTTCAAACCATAGTTTAATACACCAGTCAGTCAAAGGGAGGGTTATTTTAGACTTGCATAATTCCTGTTGTCAATGGTATGTACACAAGGCACTTGGTTACTTATTGAACTTTCTGCTCTCATTAGGTAGGGAATATGCAGTAGGTTTTAAGGTATGTTTACCTTCGAATGTGACTAAGGAAAGCTTCCTTATCCAATGTTATTTTTTTATAAATAAAAAAGGAGGCTTGAGATCCTTACATTGCTCATCCCAGAGAAATATTTTATCCTTTTGTTCAGCAAATTATTAATCAATGTGTATCTCATTCTTTTACAATGTCTAGTTTTCATATACCCCATAAAGAATATAATGTATCAGGAGAGTAACACACATAGAGGCAGCTGTGATAGCCATGGTCCATGAGACCACCTGGCTTCAAAGCTTGGACCAGTAGCCTGCTAGCTACACTTTTTAAGTAGGGCACATTTTTAAACACTTAATGTCTCAATTTCCTCATCTTTCAATAATGTTAATAATAATACCTACTTCATAGAGCTGCTATGAAGTGTTGTAAGTCACACTTACACACTTAGAACAGAGCTTGGCATATAGTAAGCTTTCAATAGTGCTTACGATTATTAAATAATTTGTAAATCAAGAAACACACACACCTTTCCAGCTAATAGGGATATGTAATCAAACAAGGTTGCGAGTCACTGTTGTAGCCCACTGGTGTTCAACTGCAGACATGCCATGGGGGTGGTGTTGGAGGTGCAGAGGGCCAAATAGAGCAGTTGGCTTTCACTGATATTACTTGATTGTGCCTCTGCAAAATAATTTGTGTGTGTGCAACCACAGTAGCCACATCTGGGCAAACAATAATCATAGTTATTTCAAACATACCACAGAGCAATCTGAATTAGTTTAAGACCCCTAGTCAACCATGCTGTGGTCTGGTTGAAAAGAATAGTTGAAAATAAGTGGTCTAATTCATGTTTGAATAATCCTGGGAACTACGGGAGGGAAAAAACAAAAACACTTTTCAAAGAAGTCTATTCTATACACTGAGAGTGGTGGAGAGTGTTTGGTCATAAAACGTGTTGGCCATTGGGGGAAGATGGGATAAAAGGCCGAGGGAGACTGTGTAGGTGACATTTAGGTCTCCTTGCACATTTTAGATGCACAAAGTAAACAGAAAAGCTCTGAAGTAATGCTTGCCCTTTTTTCTACCCTCAGTTCCAGCACATACAGCTACAATACTTGAGTAAATATTTAATCTTTTTCCGTACAATTTCTCCTTATGCACAGGAACAATGAGATTGTTAAAAGAATTAAGGGAATACATTCAAAAACCTTAACAATGGAGACTATTATACTAATTAAAATAAAACAGTCAGAGAAAGATAGGTATCACATAATCTCACTTATATGTGGAATCTAATGAACACAATAAACTGATGAACAAAATAGATCCAGAGACAGAAAGCATGGAACAGAATAACAAATCTCAGAAGGAAGAGAGGAGGTGAAAGGAGATCAAACAAAGAGCATATGCATACCCCATGGACACAGACAATAGTGTGGTGAAGCTATGAGGGTTGGGAGCAAGGTGGAGGAGGTCAATGGGGTGGAAAAGAGGGACATCTGTAATGCTGTCAACAATAAAGATAAACTTTAAAACAGCTTAGCACAGTTCCAGATATAAAACAAGGCCTGGATAAATGTTAGTTATTGTCATTACTGTTATCACCAATCTCATCCTCACTAACACTCCTTCCTGTCTGGTTTTAAGTTGAAGGTGATCTGTAGTTAATCTTAACAACCTTGTTGAAAACTTGTTTCCTCTACAATGTTCCGTGTTAGGAGAGAAGTACTAACTCCTATCTGTCTATCTATCTATCTCTCTATCTCTCTATCTATCTATCAATCATCAATCATCTTTCTACCTATTATGTATGTATGCATGTATGTATCCAATTATGTACTTATCACCTATTTATCATGGTTGCAAATGTTAGATTTTGATTACAAATATAGGTTAAATATTAACCACAATCTATCAATATAGTTCTGCAGAAATAATCTTTCTAATAATCACACATAGCTAGGTAAAGTGGATACAAGTGGTCTTGCCACTGCTGTTTCCTTGCTT